GTTAAAAATTTAATGATAACAAATTAATTTATCACTTTTATTAAATCTAGTGACCATTTATAAATATTTATAATTAAAAGATTAAATAAAAATAATCCTATAATTGAAAGATTATATGTATATTTTACTTGCAATAATCGTAACTTATAATAAGTGTACTTTATATTTTGACAAAAACTAAAAATAAAACAAGTTTGCATAATACTTGCAATAATTGTAACTTATAGTAAGTGTATTTTATATTAACTTGTTATAACATGAATAAAATTAAAGGAGCAAGAGGGCTTCTGCCTCTTTAAATTTTTTGGTCTAATGGTGACAATGGTTAGTGTACTGTATAAACTGTATATTTGTATTGTGAGTCTAATGTGGTTATCTTATATGTTATAAATTATAAGGAATGTCAAATGGAAAGAATTTAAGAAACATTATAGAAGATGAAATTATAATTTGCATTCAATAAGGATTTGAAGAGGTCTAATCGGCAAACAACAAGTGTTGGGAATGGCATATGCAAACACTATGGACGTCCACATCGTGATGATTATAGAAAGGTATTGGGCGCATGTTTTCATATTGTGGTGCAAAGGACCATTACCTAAAACATTGTCCAAAATATAGAGGCTCTAAACTTGTAGCTCCACATAAAATTTCATCAACATCAACGGGTCGTACGCCCACTGAGAATGATTTTGGATGTATCAGAAGAGGATCACGAGAAAAGAGTTCAAAATGTAGAGCGACAAATCTGAACAGCTGCATGTGTTTATCCTTTAAAAGACCATGACTTTATTAGGCACGTGGATATAAATACTTGCAAAAATAGTATGGATACGTTAGGCACATGGATATAAAGCCCAAAGTGTCGTCAAAATAAAAATGCCGAAGCCTTTCAAGTACGTAAGGTTGTGCCCTGAAATTCAATAATAAGATGGGCATATATTCAATTATAATGATGCTGATATGAAAGCAAGTTGTTTTTGAAATGGGAAAAAGGTTTGTTTTGAGTTGAGCAAAAGAAACACGGACTCATCTAAATTAATCCCTACTTTCTTACTACCAAATACTATACTTTGACTCCACCTCTAACTTTTTTTTTTATCTTCTTCTTATTCTCTACTGTTGTTTCCCACACTAACTAAACAATCCCTTCCTTGTCAATTCATTAAAACAAATTGATTTAATTTATTGATTCATCTCATTTCTTTTTTAATATATATATATATAAATGATACACCATCATAAAACTAATAAAAAAATCTCTGTTAAATACCTTGGAGTCCCACTGGATACAAGAAAGCTCTCAGAAAAAGACTGTGAGCCTCTTATTAATAATATCAAATCCAGGCTCACTCTTTGGTTTGGAAAATTTCTGAGCTACGCAGGTAGACTGGAGCTTATTAGAGCAGTGCTGTTCAACATTGCTAATTATTGGTGCAGACGATTACTGCTCCCTCATTCTATAATCAACAAGATTGAACAGCTATGCTCTCGCTTCTTCTGGAAAGGCACTGATAAATCTGCGTCAGGTGCGAGAGTCAGCTGGAACAACATTTGCAAACTGAAATCAGAGGGTGGACTGGGATTGAAAAATCTTAAAGACTGGAACAGAGCATGTATGATTCATCTCATTAAGAAAATACTTGCAGGTGAGGGTTCATTATGGGTTGCTTGGATAGATGCTTATATTCTAAAGGAGAATGATTTATGGCTCATGGAAGGAAGTGCAAACAATAGCTGGAGTCTCAACAAAATTCTTAAACTTAGAACAGAAGCTCTACCGATCCTCTCGAGTGGAGCTCTTTCTATCAGACAAATTTGGCAGGAGATCAGAAAAAATGTCTTGGCATTCTTTGATTTGGTTCCCCATCACATCCCTAAAAATAGTTTGATAGTTTGGATTACATTTTTAGATAGGCTTCCCACTCGTGACCGCCTACAACGCATGGGGATTACTTCTTCTGGGATTTGTGTTCTTTGCAATGATTTAATGGAAAGTCGAAACCATTTGTTCTTCGAATGCCAATTCGCATCTCATTTAAGAGAGAAAATTATGCACCTTAGTGGATTACAGAAGACTTTACAATCCTGGGAAGACATGGTTGCTTGGGCAAGTAACATTTGAAAAGGCAAGTCACTCCTAACCACTATCCTTAAAATCGCTTGGAGCGCCAACATCTATGTTTTGTGGGAGGAACGAAATCGAAGAATTTTCAAAGGATGCTCTTGAAATCCAACAGAAATCTTTAGTAGCATCAAAGAATTATTAGGAATTAAACTAAGGGGCAAAAATATCAATAGACTTGACTATGTTAACTCCAACCTTTGTATATCATGGGGTATTGATTAAACCGATCGAATTTTTTGTAATTAGTATGTAAATATCCTCTGTGATCGGTGATTGTTTTTTGTAGCAGTATTGCTTCTTTGGGTAATAAAATTGAATTATCCAAAAAAAAATAAAAAAAATCTCTCGTTTATAGACTTATCAATTATACGGATTAGATTGGATCTCAAGCCAACTTAAATCAATTAATTTATATTTATACTTTTATATCATTTTGTGTTCAAAGTCATTTTAAATTTAGAAGACTTAATATAAAAATAAGTGTCTAAATTATGTCTCGAAAAACGTTTTAATATCTAAAGATTTTTCCTGCCCCTAAAATTTTTTCTGTTACTATTTTAGGTGCTCGAATGTTAACCGCAGTTAAAAATATCAATTAAGTGACACGGGTCACATTCGGGTAATTTTGAGAATTTTTATTTAAAATAATATTATATATATATAAACTATTTTTCAAAACTTTTAAAACCTTAATTTTAATCCATTTGTCACTGTTGGACATCACCAATGTCGTCAATTGGCCGAACACCCAATGATGTTTGACTGGCCAACCACCAACAACGAAAACCCTCATACTTTCGCATCCGATCGAACAACAAATCCCCCTAAATCTATAAATTCTTAAACACAAATCTTCCAAAACCCTAAATCAAAATCATTCATTTACACCATATTTGGGTATTCGATCAGTTGCAAAAATATGGGGGGTTTGGTCATGGGTGATTGGTCGGTCACACGTCAATGTTCAGCCGATTAACAACGTTGGTGGCTACCGGCGGTGGCAACAAGATTAAAATTAAAGTTTTAAAGTTTTAGGGTTTTTAAAGATTTGAAAAAAATTGAAGGTTCTTTAAAAATATTTTTTTATTTTAAATAAAAATTCTCAAAATTACCAAAACGTAACACATGTCACTTAAGGAGAATTTTAATGGTGGTTAACGCCCATGCACATAAAATGGTAACGAAGAAAATGTTAGACACATACTTTTAACAATTTTTTTTTTAGATAGTACTAAAAATAATTTTCGAAACATATTTTGTGCACTTATTTTGGTATTAAGCCAATTTAGAATGTTTTAACCTTTGAACCGAATTAGATTACCAATTGGGGTTTTCAGGTTGGGTTATCATAGTTTTAAGTTATTTTTTAGTTATTTATTCTGGTTATTTTAAGTTTAGTTATTTTTAATTCGAGTTGCTTTTTTTATTTAAAACTTCAAATGAAACAATTATTGATAAATTTACTCTATTGTAATGAATTACAATAATTTTTTTGGTTTAATTCAATTAGCTTATTTATTTTAAAATATATTTAATATACTTTGAGTTTGAATCTCGAAAATAATTGCAAGATATTTTTCAATTTATTTCATCTTTTTATTAATTTAGGATAAATACAATGCATTATTTGTTCAAAGATAATTCTTCATAATTTGACATTAAATGTTTAGATTCTTAATATTTATGGTACTCGAACTCAGAACCTCAAAGAATAACAACAATCTCTTTACCACCGAGCTCCTCTAATATAAAGTTTTAAAATCTTTAAAATCTCATATAATTCATTTCATGTAAATTATGTGCAGATTCTAAAATAAATATTATAATTTAAATTTTATTATATAAATTTTATTTGAATATATTTTAATCATCATAATAATCTTTCAGAGAAAAAAAGACATCAAAGTAAAAATGCAATATAATTTCGTAATTGTATCTTCATTGAAAAAAATATAATGATCGATATATATAAACAATTTCTTAAATCCAGCTTTACCTTTCAGTTCAACATAAAATAAGCCTAGCTTTTTCCCCAATAATTGATTATTAGTAGCACTTTCATACTTCCTTTCAATAAGCATTAACGTTGTTAATTAACAATCATATAAAATCGGATTCGAAGTTCATGTTATTATTTTATAATCATTAAGATATTTATAAATCATTAGGACGATCCTTGTAATGTGCAGTATTCTCAATGTGAAGTCTGAAGAAAAAAAAATCCTTACCACCTCCATTTCCAGAACCGACAAATCATACAAAAAGGTTGATTCTGATTTCAGTCCCCTCTATTATACTGAACTTTTAATTTAATCCAAGCCATCCCTTTAAATATTAGTTGTTAAGGCTGAGTAAGGAGATTAAAACAAAAATTAAAAAAAAATAGTAGGTTTATTGTTTTTAAATTTAACAAATATGATTATTTGGATCGAATTCAATTTTTTTCATTTAATTTATAGTTAGGTTTTATTTCTATATAAAAATAAATATTTTATATGTTAAATAGTAAATTAATTCAAAAGTATATATTTCAATTATTACTTTTTTATTTATTTGGAGAGATTAATGATTTTTAAAACATTTTTAAAAAAAAGAAAAGGAACATAGAAAAAAGATAAAACAACTAAGTTATCAGAAGTTACTAAGAAAAAAACCAAACTAATAGCACCCTTATTTCTATTATTGTCGTTATAATAAGCGCGTGTCCAACTATGAAGCTTGGAAAATGTCACTACCATCTACTCAAATACCCCCAATGGCCATCTTCCACTTCATCCCTAAAAACCCTACAACCCAACTAAAACACCATAAAGAAAATATCAGCCGAGTCAGAGGCGCGGCAAGACTCACGATCAGGATTGAATCGGCGCCAATGGTGTTGTCGCTCGTTGCTGATGGCGGCTCTTTCTCCTCCAAGTCCACGCTTCAAATCTTAGACTTGGAGGCGGCGAAAACTATGTCTCGCCACGTCGCATTGTATAACTCTGTCTCCGATGATGAGTTCCTCAACCTCCGGCAAGGTCCCATGAAGTCCCGCGGCGTGGCGTTTTTGAACTCCATCGATGAAGGCTATCTTCTTGGACTTGCGTGTAAAGAGAAGCTCGAGGATCTGGGTCATGCCGTCGCTGTGGTTTCTCGTTTCAGTAAGAAATGCAACGATGAAGAACTCAACAGGTTCGATATCGTTTATCGTAAGATGACACGGGATTATTGATGTCGGCAACGTTGGTTTTAGCTCCAGAAACGTTAGGAAAACCAATGAAAAGATTGAGAAATACGCGAATGCGACATCTGATCTATAGGAATCATTGGTGGCCCTCAACGAATTAGAGGCGTCAGAGAAGAAAGTGCAGAAATGGAAGTTCAAAAATGATTACTTCAACGAGGAAATCACTTTCCAAAGAAAGCAAGTTCTACACTTTAGACAGGTTTCCCTTTGGAGTCAGACATTTGATAGAACTGTCGGGTTAATGGCTCGAATCATCTTCGTGGTTTACGCCAGAATCTGCGCAATTTTTGGACCCTTTGTTCCGAGTCTCCCAAAAAGAAATCTTTGAACATGAAGGTTTTTCCAGAGGCCAATCATTGCCTTCTCGCGGAGAAAGAGAGGTATATGAAACAAGCCTCGAAATCGGGTCCAATATGAAAGCTTCCAAGACCAAATCAATACCAAGACGTTCGTACCGCGTAGTTAACGCCTTCGAATCCCAGATTTCGGCCATAAGAAACAAAAGGTTGATACATTCCGCTCCGGAGAACACCGTAGGAGCAGCGGGACTTGCGTTTCGTTACAGAACCTAATTGTTACGGCGGAGAGATGTTTCCACTCGACAACAAGCATCGGCGACGAAGCACGAGAGAACATGTTCGAGATGTTGCCAATAAGCCTGAAGCAAGTTTTGAGAAGGAAGCTGAAAGGCCAATGGAGCAAGGATAGCGAGGAGAGTGATGGGGGACAAGGTTTGACACATGGGTGGGAAGAGGCATTGGAGGATATAATAGGGTGGTTGGCACCAATGGCGGTTGATACGTTGAGATGGCAGCAAGAGAGGGAGTTGGAGCAACAAGAACTGGATGTGAGGCAGACGGTTTTGTTGTTGCAGACATTGCATTTCTCGGATTTGGAGAAAACGGAGGTGGCGATCGTGGAGGTTTTGGTAGGGTTGAGTTGTATATATAGGTACGAGAATCTGCGGGGGAGGCATGTTGACGGTTGCCGTTGGTTATAATGAAACCAAAGTAGGTGTTCGTTTCTCATTATTAGGTTTCCTTTTTTTTTTGTCTGGGTTAGTATACTCTATTGGTTGATTCTTTTACAAGCCGGCATTCTGGAAGAAGGAAAAACAAGTGAACTGTACCACATTAATTTGTGCTTTAATGGAGAAACAAAACTGTTTGAGGATCAATCGGGGGTCGGGGGTTACATCATCCACATGCTCCAAATCCCGACTCCACCTTAGCCAGATCAATAAGTAAACCAGTAAGCTACAAGCTAAACATAATAATATAATATAGGATAAACTACACGTTTATCACTTAAAGTTTACTTTTTTTTCTTTTATTACCCCACCGTTAATTAATTTTAAAAAAGATGTGAAAATTTAAAATACTTAAAAATACCAAATCAACATTACCGTTAAAAAAGTAATTGGTGGATAGTAAAATGAAATAAAAAATAAACATTAGGTATAATTTAAAAATAATGAAAGTTAAGGTATTAAAATGAGACAAAAATGATAATTTAAGTATCAAACATGCGGTTTACACTGTAACATAATATAATATAATGTAAAGAAAAGAAACACTGCAACCATGAAAGTGTTGGTGCCCATGATCCGGTGACTACTAATTCAAACTTTTCAGAGAAAAAGAAGTCGGCAATGAAATTTGCTATCAAATGGACACCTTGTGATCAACTTGAAGCTTTGCTTCGGCACGCCTCTGGATATCTGGAATGGAATCCAACTTCACATTGGCTACTTCCAAAACAATCATCAACATTTTGTTTCAATAGAGTCAAATCCAGCATAATATTTTTCAATTAACTAAGTTTACGACTTATATTTCATCATTTTAATTTGATTTTGTTTTTTAAATCAAATTACATCATATACATTTAAATTAAAAATATTATTCACGATATAATTAAACTGGAGTAGATAAATTTAAAATCAACTTCAGGCGGAGTTTTGCTTATCCTAATCAAAACTGTCTTTGCCTGTAAATAATTCTGCGTGTCCCAAGTGAACATTTAATGGGCCAAAAGTGTTGGGGTAAAAAATATTCGGAAAAAGTCCCATGGCCACCAAGTTATATTGGGCATAATCAGAACTTTAAGTCATTAAAAAAATTCCTTGTCTTTTCATTTCTTGTAATTCGGTCTAATCATAGTTATATATAAACAAAATCAAACCTTAATCTCGTATTTAACAACGACAATTATAGTGATTTAACTCAAACTGTCTAGGAAGCTAAGTTGATGTCTCAACGCCTCCTATCTAAGAAAGAAGGGTCAAAGAAGAATGCAATAATTCTTTTCATGTCCAATGTTTACAAGCCAAGTGGGGAGTACAACAATCTGTGATTCTCAAACCACCTCTATCTCATAGAGTCAATACCTGATTGCAATAACCAAACGAATTTAGTGATAAAAAATTATTGTTATATTTTGAGATTTTGAATTGGAACATCATAAGTATCATAAATATGAGTTTTTAATGTTAAATATTTAAAATTTATCTTTAAAAATATGTTATCTTTTATTTACCTCAAATTAATAATAATAATAAATAATACCTCATCACTTTGTTCGTTGACTCGGTTCACCTTCATAGGGCACGTTGAAGTGTTGGACACTTTGACTCAATATTATCGATCCAATTATAATTATATATAAAATTAGATATATACTTTTTAATAGTTTGAATAAATTATATAGTAATTTTTTAATATTTTTTTAATTATAAATAACATAGTATCTTATAGATAAATTTATCTTTTATTTTTGAAATTATATACCACAAAAGTTTTTGCACCGTTTCACACTCTTATCCATATACGTTGGCCATGTGAACTCTGAACATTTCTCAAATTGATTCCCAATGTTACATGTTGGTTTGCTTATAAGTTATAAACCCAAAAGACAAGACAACTTTATGACTACATTTCTTTCAAGTCCCAACAACCTTTTTCTAATTCAACAAAAGCCATTAATGACACCTTCCCACCAAAAAGCATCCTAAAATGCTCATATTTTTCTTACCAAACTTCTCCGGCCAAACTCACGATATAATGCTTTCAAAATAAATAATTCACGAAATAACGTTCTCCCAAGATTAATTGCTGAAGTAGGGTGAATTGCACAGTTGGTCGTAGGTCGCCATGCCTTCCGGACGACCTACCATGTCACCGGGACTCCATGGCGACCTACACATGCACGATCTCCCCAATCTCCCCATGCATGAATTGATCCTTGGTCGCCCCGAGTGCCCCATGCATGAACCGATCCTTGGTCATCCTTGGTCGCCTCGAGTGCCCCATGCATGAACGATCCTTGGTCACCCCGAGTGCATGGCACGATCTCCCCAATCTCCCCATGCATGAACCGATCCTTGGTCGCCCCGAGTGCATGACGACCTCCTTGGTCGTTGGGCGTGCATGGCGACCTCTTTGATCGTTGGGCGTGCATGACGACCTCTTTGGTTATTGTACAATTAACCCTATCTCAACAAATAATATGTCCAAAGCATTATCTCGTGAAAAAAAAATCGAGAACATTATCTCGTGGAATCAGCCAACTTCTCCAACCATGTTTTACTTCCTTGCAACTCTCTTCTTCCTCTTAGCCCCAGCTTATACTTTCCAACCCACTGAACTCTTCTTTCCCGGGTTTTCGGGCACGAAACCCGACAACTTAATACTAACAGGAGTCGCAAAGATTGAAGAAAATGGCATCCTCTGCTTAACCGATGACACCGGTCCTTTACTTGGTCACGCTTTTTACAGCTCTCCATTAAGAGTTAAGAGTTCGACCAAAGGCAAAGCTTTTTCCTTTTCTACCTCCTTTGCTTTCGCAATAGTTTCCGAGTACAAGAACCTAGGCGGTCGCGGCCTTGCTTACGTAATCGCCACTTCTAAAGATCTCAAAGCATTTCCGAGGCAGTATCTCGGAATCCAAATCGCGACCGAAGCCGAAGACAGCCCCTAGAACCATGATCTCGTGGCGGTCGAGTTTGACACGGTTCAGGATATTGAGTTCCGCGACATCAACGAGAACCATGTCGGCGTCGATATCAACAGCTTGAACTCGAATGCCTCGGTTCCTGCAGGTTTCTACACGCATGGTTCAACGAAGCAAAATATTACCCTCATGATTGGAAAAGCAATCCAAGCTTGGGTCTTTTATGATTTGGATGAAAATATGCTCAATGTAACGACCGCACCAAATTCAACAAGACCGATATTCCCGATCTTGTCGTTTCATGTAGATCTTTCACCGTATTTTCATGAGTTTATGTACGTTGGTTTCTCCGCGTCGACCGGGTTACTTACTAGCTCTCATTATATCTTAGGTTGGAGCTTTAAAATCAACGGAGAAGCTCAGGGTCTTGATCTATCTTCTTTACCTCACTTCCTGGACCGCCAAATAAGCACACAGCTTTAATAGTCGGTGTCTCGGTTTCATCGGCCGTTCTAGTCATATTAGCGGTATCGGCTGCCATTTATTATTTCATTATCAAAAGTAAGAACGAAGATGTAATCGAAGATTGGGATCTGGAGATTGGACCAAAACGATACTCTTACCAAGAACACAAGCAAGCAACCAATGGGTTCAGTGCAAAAAACTTACTCGGCTACGGTGGTTCCGGCGGTGTTTACGAAGGGAAACTTCGAGATTCAAGGACTCAAGTGGCTGTCAAGCGAGTTTCTCAAGAATCTAAGGCTCTAAGCAGGGTTTACGGTAATTCCTATTAGAAATCGCTAGCATCGGACGACTCCATCATCGGAACTTGATTCAAGGACTCAAGTGGCTGTCAAGTAGTGAGATATCTTGATGGGGAAGCCGAGATACTTTGAGATTAGAGTTTGAAATCTATTAGATATTTTCTTTATTTGCGATCTAACATCTAATGTAGTGTTTTTTGGGGACCAAATCTAATGTGGTTTTTAGTGTGCGCATTAGAAATTTTGTAGTCGTGGAATCGAGTTTACAATAGACAATTCATAATTCTGACTGTTGGAAATCTTTCACGGAAACTGTTCTCAACCTGACGTTGGGGCATCCTACTACCTTACCTCCCTCTCACCCCATTACAATTTTTTTTAAATAAGGGTTTTTATACCACATATTACATAATATTTGAATAATTCAAACTTCCTTGTGGCTTTTGGACCATTCAATACTTCACGATGAGATTCTGAATAAATAAGATTATGGGAACCACATTTCATGGTTCCTTTCTTCAGACTTTTCTATGACAGTGGCATTGGAATGACATTTAATATATTTAAAATATGTTGTCTCAATATTTTCATTAATTTTCTAAAATTTTTAAATGTATCTGATTAAAAAGAAATAATGTTAAATATATTTTTAAATAAATAAATAATTAATTAAAATAATATGTAAATGAGGAAATAAATAATTTATCTAAATATAAATAAAGGAAAGGGGAAATGTAATAAGCCAATGAGTAACAACAACATGGGCAACAGCCTGGCCGCGGGGGGATTTGAATTTCCTACGACTTCCAGTGCTGCTTCTCTAACGCCGTTAACTTAATAACCCATTAAGTGAAGAGTAAACTATACGTTTAATACCTAAGTAATTAGTTTTGTTTTTTATTATATAAATTTTCATTTATTTCAAAATAACACTTAAAGTTTATTTTTTATTTTATTTTAGTACCATGTAACTTAGCGGAAGTGTTGCTGGTGGTATTTTTTATGGATAAATTATATCATTCATCACTTAATTACATTCTTTCTCCTATTTTGATAATTAAAGTTTAAAAAATTTCATTTTAACTATTTAACTTTCAAATTACTCATATTTTAATAACTATAATTTATTTTATTAATAATTTTTATGACATTTTTTATTATTATTTTATTAAAATATAATTAAAATAAAAAAAAAATAAATTTGAAAGTTAGAGTAATTAAATTAGGAGTAATTTGAAAGTTAAGTAATTAAATTAAATAAAATTAAACTTCAATGACCAAATTAAGAGTGAAAAAATATTTGAATGACGAATGATGAAATTTATTCATAAAAAGTGTCATGTTATAACAATTAGATATGATTTTTCCCAGATATATACCAAAATGAAACAAAAATAAACATTAGATATAATTTTGAAATACGTGAAACTTTAGGTACTAAAACGTGTACTTTATCCTTAAGTAAACAAAGTAAACTATATTCTGTTAATTAATCCATTTCCAGAAGTATTAAAAGCGCATAATCAATGCTTAATTAAACACCACCGCGCCTCCCTCCCATTCCCATTTTATCATTTCTCTCAAATTTCCACCCTTTTCTTTTCCTTTCTAAGCTCTCTCAAATCCTAGGGTTCAAAAATTTTCCGATTTATCCAAGTTTTGATTTATTCAGGTATTTCAGTCTTTTACCTTTCGATGGAATCGATAAGATTATCCTATTGGTGCTACAGATGCAACCGGTTCATCCAGATCCGGGTCCGATCCCCTCAATATTCGATCCATTGCCCCGATTGCGGAAGCGGATTCATCGAAGAATTCGAAATGCCCTCCCGTTCCCCAATTCACCACCGTTTCCTCGCCACCGCTATGTACTCGGAGACGCCCAGCCCAGCTCTCAGCCCCAGCCATACTGCTGCTCCTCGTTTCCGCCTAGCTCGAAGGAACGCTGTCGATCGATCCCCTTTCAATCCCGTCGTCGTTCTTCGTGGGCCTACCTCCGAATACGACAGCGTAGTTCCTGCAAGCGGAAATGCCAATTTTGAGCTTTATTATGATGATGGATCAGGGTCGGGTCTTCGCCCCTTACCTGCTAGCATGTCTGAGTTTTTAATGGGTTCGGGTTTTGATCGGCTTGTTGATCAGTTATCTCAATTAGAAGTAAACGGTGTTGGCCGTTTTGAGCAACCGCCTGCTTCCAAAGCGGCGATTGAATCAATGCCGGTGGTTAATATCACTGGCGGACATGTAAGCACGGAATCTCACTGTGCAGTTTGTAAAGAGCAGTTCGAACTAGATTGTGAAGCTCGGGAAATGCCTTGTAAGCATATTTACCATTCGGATTGTATTTTACCCTGGCTTTTGATTCGGAACTCTTGTCCAGTTTGCCGCCATGAGTTGCCAAGGGAAAATAATGGAAACAATTTAAGTGAAAATGAAGCAGTTAGAGATGAAGGAGCCGTGGGATTAACAATATGGAGGTTACCGAGAGGTGGGTTCGCTGTGGGGAGGTTTCCTGGTGGGAGGAGAGCTGCGGAGAGGGAGTTTCCACTAGTTTTCACTGAGATGGATGGTGGGTTTAATAATGCAGCAGGTGCACCTGGAAGGATTTCATGGGCGCCAAGTGGGAGGAGATCACAAGAAAGTGGAGGATTGGGGAGTGTTTTTCGTGGTTTTGTTTCCTTTTTTGGGAGGTTTAGGAGCTCCTCATCTCGTTCAGGTTCAGATTCTGGGTTTACGAGGAGAAGCAGAACAAGTTCAGTGTTTGGTAGGTCATCTAGGAGAGAGAACGATTGGGATTTCGAGGATTGAATGGTTGGGCAATGGATTCTTTGTTCATTTTTAGGCTAACCTGTTTTCTTTTTATCTGATATTATAATGTGACAATTTTCATCTAGGAAGGAAAGGAATGTGTGTAGATTGTATGATTTTACTCGATGTAAATACTGACACTTTTGGTGAAGGAATGAAGAACTGGTCGAGCTTAGATTCTGTTGAGAGAGAGAGAGGCTTTAATGAAATGATATGTACATCAACGAGGAAGAAGTAGAAAAAGAAGTTTTGTGGTTAGAATGGTCGTTCTGTGGTACTAATCCTCCCATATAAATTGACATTAGGACTAAATTTGTTCAATTTAGTAAGCTGCTGTGATAATTCATGCCTCGCTTCTTTCTTCTATGTAATTTGCTATAAGGGATTTTGTTGTTTATTTGCAATCCTTAATACAAATTATCGAGTTGTTGACATTGTTTCTTTTTGGTTTTACTTGAGTGGAAGCCAATCCGCACGCAACAACTGGTGTTCTTAGTTGTTTTTGGGTTTTTGTTTGAATTACCTAACCGTGTGATGAGTTCTGAAATTTTAATTTTCCATTCAATTATTCATTATTGAGCTTAAATGTCATTCCACCAGTAGGACCTTGATCATTATTGTAGTCGTGGATAGAGACGTGTACAAGTCCAATGGATTTGTTGGTCGGACCTTCTTAATGAACTGTCTTCAGTCACAGTGATGCAATTAGGGTTTCCTTCTGTCCTTTCTTTTCCCTTGTTACCTTCTTTTGACATTAATGTTTTAATTAGTGAAATTAATTGTTACTTTAAGAACACTCTGCCTTAGAAGTTGGTTTTTAGTTTCATTTTATGGATAGGGTTGCTTCTGTTAGTATAATCTCCTTTTTCCCTGTACGACTTTGTTCTTGTTGTGCAAGATTTTTTCTTTCTTCTCCCAATCAGACGTGGACTTCTTCAGTCAATGTGAGAGTTTTGAAAGGGTAAAACTCAGTATGCCTATGATGCATTATTTCTTTTTATCGTACAGAGTTTATGTAGGAGAAAGGTAACGGAAAACTGCAATCAAGAACTTCAGCATAGTACAAAATCGTACAAAGCAGATATTAAAGACAGAACATGGTGGAATGTTTTATGGAGCACATATATAATATACTATTGCCTATTGCATTTCCAGCATTTTTCAATCACAGTTGCCCCAATGTTAGACCATCATTTAGATTGCATCTACATTCCTTCTATATGCTTTGCATGCTATAAATGCACTGTCTTCTGTGTATTTTCATAGTATTTTCTTGAATTGTAGAAGGCTAGTTAAAGTGTCTCTATCATGCATGTGGTAATTGACATTGTTGAGCTTATTGTTGGTGTTGTTGACACACTGGTTTATTGCTTTGATATTCTTACCAAGATTTGTAATGGAAATGTGGCTCGTGATGTGAAGATCCAATTTTGAGCCATTAAATTGATTGGATTTTGCTGTGAATGGCATCATACTTACAATTTAGCCCATGTCGAGTTGCGGCATGTAGTGTCAATTGCAGAGATGATAGATACCTTAAGGAGGTTGAATTTGGTATTTGCATTAGGTCATGTGTTAGGGCTTCCAAGTTCAAGCATCCTCTTCGCTGTCATTATGACAATAGTTGATGATTCATAAATACAAAATACTTGATATCATTTCCATAAAATTATACAAATCAAAGGTTGAACTAGCAAACCCGAACACCCATTTTCTTAAAATTTTTATGGAGCTGTAAAATGTAGACGAATCGAATAAACCGAACTAAATCGAATAATTTTGTCATATCAATTCAATTTAATCGATTTGATTAAGAAGTTTGGTGTACACAGGTTTAATTGGTTTGTTGTTACTTCAAGCTTTTCAAATCAAATATACTGTGAATAAATCAAACATATCCTTGATACAAACTATCTTTTAAACCCAAGCTCCAATTCTATACCTCGCTTTAAATTTTAAACCCAATAAACCGACATATCCTTACATAAGAATTTGATTCTCTTGATCTTGACACATGTGGCGGGCGGACCGGTTAAACGACTCTATCGGTTTATGTTAAGAGTCAATGTATATGGTTTCTGACACATAAAACCGAACCGACCCAGTTGAACAAATGCTCACTCCTGAATCAAATGTCAAAAGTATAAAATCAAAAATTAGTAAGCTCAATCAAATAATAATAAGACCAAAAGGGGCATTGGGGGAAGAAAAACAACAACGGCACCGCACCATCTACAATTCTAGATATATAAAATTATAGACTTAATATACTAATTGAACTCTGAATTTGGTATTTTTTTTGTATTGACGTATGGTCTTGACAATTGTTTTCAAGGTGATACCTACGCACAATTTCTAAGTTTAGATATTAAAGTTTTTTTTTATAAAAAAAATAGGTAACACGTTGAAAATAATTGTCAAATTCAGATATCAAAATGGCCAACAAAATAAATGGCATTAGCCATAGGTATCATATTGAGAATAATTCTCAGGTTTAGGTATTAAAGTGGTAAAAAACTATGTACTAATTTGAGAAAAACTATAAAGTTTAGGTGCTATTGATATATTAAACCAAAATCATAATATAACAACTTTTCTCCGCAAAACAGAACATTTTTTTCAAAAAAAGAAAAGAAAAAAAGATCACCTATCAGCAGCACCGTAAACGCCGACGTTTTTCACGCCGGCGCATCCCCCACTTATCCTAATATTATATTGTAAACACATAACCATGAGGCTAGGCTCCAGCTTTTCCTTCCCCGTAGCCGTTGTCGTTTCCATCATCGCTTTTGTTTACTTTTGTGCGGTCTTCGTTTTCATTGACCGCTGGTTCGGTCTAATGACCTCCCCTCGTATGATTAACGCCCTCGTTTATTCCGCTGTTGCCGTGATGTGTGTGTTTAATTACACCGTTTCCATCTTGGCGGATCCGGGTCGGGTGCCTTCTACTTACATGCCCGACATCGAAGATTCCAAAGTTTCTATCCATGAGATCAAACGCAAGGTACGTTCAGCAAATTCCATGTTCTTCCTACGTCTTTTCAGGTTCCTTATGTTTCCTTTCTGAATTTGTTTCTGTGATTTTATTTTTCCCCTCTAAATAATGTCAAATTTCATGTTTTTTTAATGAAAACGATTCATGTTTGCCATTTGGGTTTGCAGGAAATGAACAGAACAATGTTGGGGTCATTGCATTTTTTGTGATTATTGCATGTAACTATCCAGAGATGGACAGGAGATGAACAAGCAACTCTCAAAATTTTAAATTATTATATATTTTAAATATTTTATTTGTATTGTTAACATGTTGTCATCCTTAGAATTTTATAAATTCGTCTAACATAAAATTCTACTTGAGTGCAACTATGTCTAGTGTCCCTGTTGTAATTTTGTTGTTTGTTTAACGTATAACTTTAAAGCATTTGTCTCTCTGGCTCATGTTTGATCTAACGTAGCCGATGAGTTGTTTAAACATTTGGGAGGTTAATAGACACATGTTTTCTGTAGGGAGGGGACTTGAGATATTGCCAAAACTGTTGTCATTTTAAGCCTCCTCGTGCACATCACTGCCGTATTTGCAAGAGGTGCATTTTGAGAATGGTATGTGGAATCTATGTTATTTCTTCATGCATGTCTGGAATGTCCCTGATAATGTGCTAAAGTGCTCTTCTTGATTTTAAGGATCAAGATTGTGTTTGGATTAATAATTGTGTTGGCCATGCCAACCACAAGACCTTCGTCTTTGTTGTATATGCCGTAATCGCTTGCTTCTATTCTCTGGTATGTCCTATCATGAATAACACATTTATTTTCACCCTGAGATCTTGAAACCATCGTCAGCGAGTTCTGATGAGGTGTTTTGGTCGTTTTCTCATTGTTTTTTCTATTCTCTAAACCGACAGGTTCTACTCTTCGGTAGCTTTAATAGTGATTTCCGAATAGACGAGCAGCAGAGAGATTCTTTCAGAATCATATATGTAATGTCAATGATTATCGACCTTCTAGAGCTACAACTCACCATAATAGTGCTATACTTACGATTTAGCATCTTCAGGTTATTTCTGGACTGCTGCTACTACCATTAAGTGTGGCCTTAAGTGTTTTGCTGGGTTGGCATATCTACCTCATTTTGCACAACAAGACGACAATCGAGGTAACGAGAATGTTAAACGCATTGTATTTTGTTTATTTCAATTATGATTTTAAATTTTACTTAATTTTTTGTTCGAATGCGGCAGTATCATGAAGGGGTGAGAGCTTTGTGCCTTGCAGAGAAAGGAGGAACCGTGTACAAGCATCCGTATGATCTTGGTGCCTATGAAAATCTATCATCGGTAACCACTTGTAATGGAACTGTTATCTTGTTGAATCGCAGGACTCATTCTTTTAATTGTTAGCTTTAGATGGTAGCTTCTGAGTGTTGAAATATCCCTAATCTTATATATCTTAAGTGGCCTCCATATGTCGAGTTTTAGTGATCTAGACTAAATTGAACATCATGAACTTGGCGCATTGCTTCCTTGTAAATATTTACAACGCTTATTTCATCTGTCGTGGTCTTATTGTTTCAGGTTCTGGGTCCAAGTATCTTCTGCTGGATGTGCCCCACCACGAGACACATAGGTGACGGTCTCCGCTTCCGAACATCCTAAGATACCATATCTGCCACATCAACATGAAAAATGAAGTCTCGGTTATACATATCGAAAGCTCTCGATGCTCGAGGGATTGACGAATGCTTACCTCGTGATCACGGCAAAGTTACCCTAACACATACGCTATCACCTTGCCGTTGTCCGGGAAAGGGAAACTAGGAACCACGGTTCACCGCTCTCTGGCAACAGTTAGAGAGGAGTGGCAATATGGAGTAGTATATGGAAAGGTCCACTGTCCATAACTAGGTAATGCAAGTCTCTCCAAAGCAATTAGAATTAGAAATATGATTCGTGGGGTTTTACTTTTACCCTTGTTTTTTTCACCCTGATTAGTTTTCTTTTTTACTTTTTACACATCGTCCATAAAAAAAGAAGAGGCATCAATGTAGAAACTTATATAAATCATGTACAAGTAAACTGTAAAATCCTTTTAACTCTAAAATACAAACAAAAGTTTTGGTAATAATTGGCAAATATAGATACTGTTCCTAAATTTAGGCCTTTTGTTTTTTGTTAAACAAATTCAACAATAATAAACAAATTTGATTGTACAAGTTCACATTTTTACATCTTAATTGTTTGTGTTCACGTTATATAATTAAATTGCCCGATGAATTGTTTTTCAGTTCAACTAATTAATCTGAATTGAATTTCACGTTCTTCATATTTAAAATTAGTTTGATCTTGCGACGATATCAGAAAATCTATCATTGGTATTTGCTAAAATATTTATTTTGGTCTATTTTTAAACAAAATAATTTAACCTTTATAATTTGAATTTTGATCAAAATAATTTATTTTATTTGATAAAAATAATTAGTTGACTAAGGATCAAAACTTATTATTGATATAATATAGTGAGATATACTCATTTAGCAACGTGATATTTTTATATTAAAACTAATATTATCAATTTAAAAAAATTATTTAATAAATTAATTTATCTAATAGGATCGTGTCAATATTTTTCTATTAAAAATTATTATCTTCCAATAAACTGATGACGTATAATATCATATTATTGATGAAAAGAAAAGCTAAAATATAAAATACACGAAGGAAGCTCAAGCCAAAGACCCTTAATAAAAAATTTTGTACCTAACCACCAAATTAAAAAAAATAATTAAATTATAATAAATTGATAACTTAAGTGATTGAAACATATTTTTTTAATTTTAATGATCCAATTTGGACAAAATTAAAAAATAAGTGACCAAACCGATAGTTTAAGTTAATAAGTAATATAATAGTAGTATTTGTGGATAGTGGTCAATTTGATGTACTGATCATCGCGCCACCTCCGAAAAACTCACGTGGCCTCAGCATGGTCCTTATCTGAGTTATCAGCTCACTCGCTCATTCGACAATGAAAATAACGATAACAACGTGTCAAGACATTATTAGATAATGTTTCTCACGCTCAACCACGTATGAGAAGTGAAAAGATGGCGAAAATTATTTAATATATCGGATATCAACGAACAAGGGAAAAAAAGTAGTCCCTTACTTGACTTTCCTCTTTATCCTCTCTCACCTGAGAGTTGAAGATTTCGCCGGCGATGCTGTCAGAAAATGGAAATAGATAATAAAAAACCAAACCCATCTCAGATTAAGAGGTTCGTTTTCTGGGTCTCTAATTTTCTTGCCTTATTTGGTTGACATGTACTTGTTAGTTAATTTTCTTTCGAATCATGGGGTCTTTGTTTTGATTTCACAGCATGTTTTTCAACTTGTTTTCTTTTTTGTTTGTGAAATAAGCTAACAACTTACTAAATCGAGAGGGTTTTGTGTATGGAAGTTATGATTTATGGGTGTCAGTTAACAGTTTGATCTTTTGTTGTTTATTTAGCTTTGCAACTGTCATTTATCAGCTATGGCTTCTCTTTGCTTGATGGGGTTTTACCCTTTTAGTTTATCGGTTAGGCGTGTCGGATTGGTTTTGGATTAGATTGGGTTTGTGCTAGTTTTTCCAGGTCAGGTCATCTCGAGTACGGTGATTTTAGGCTACTAATTCGGATCATTTCGGGTTTACTTTTGGACTCGGATTGTTTGGTTTTGCGATCGGATCAGAATTGAAAAGAACTGTTAACTCTTGGATGATATTATTTATTAGTTTATTATACTGGATTTATAAGTACTTTAACTTGTTGGTCTGGCTTGAATCCTTAATGAGGCAGAAAGCAATCGGTGGCTACGGTATCTTGGATATTTTTCTATTTTATAACTTTTGGTTAGCAAATGAGAAAGGAAATCGATATTCTATGTAGGCCACCTGCCGACTTCTTATTCCTATTTCTATTTTCATTTTCAGCTATCTTGAAAATTCCCTCATCGTTGTTGACATAAACAAGAAAAGGAAATTAGAGGCTGAGCAATTGGGCTTGCCGCTACCGAAGCATCAATGTTGGAAGCAAAGCTTGTCGTTGAAGCCTCCTTCCTTATGCAGTGTCACAGAAATAGAGGGGTTCGGTTCTTGCACTTTCAAAGGAAAGGGAGCAAATGACTATGATGTATCCAAAACTGAGTTGGCAAAAGATAGCAATAGCTTTGCTGAAGATTCGGACACCGCAATGTCTATGCATGCTGATGCCAAGTGTTTGCTAGACAACAGTGCTTCCTCCTCGTCACCCGATTGGGGATCCAGATCCCAATGTTCCCATTCCGATGGTACAACTGTTGCATCAAGCAGTGTCGGAAAAGATGTACTATCTTCACCTGGTGATGAGCTTGAAACTGCTGATGCGAGACTAGCTGAAAATCTTCAGGAGACGCTTGATGAGTATGGAGACAATATAGATTACATCTACTCGGGATACGGAAAATATACCATAGAGCAATACCAAGATAAGGAAATTGAAGAAATTCTTAACTCCGACGGGGCAAATCCAAATGTTTATGTTCTTTCATCTGGACGATGGAGCGTCAACCAAGGTAGTTCCTAAGACTGAAAATATAGATGCATTGCTTATACAAATCTGACCTTTTCTTTCATATGTACTTTACTGCAGAGGCTCCCGAAACAAAAAGGAAACCGACCATTGATCAAGAATTTGAGCAGTACTTTTCCACGCTTATGCTCTAGGGGTGAGTACTTAAATCTGAACATCTCATCTATTCATAGTAATGTGGCTTGAATGACATTAAAGTCGAAATGTAAAACTTGGCTTGCTTTCGGGATTATTTTGAGGTAACTCTACCTTTGCCTTTTCCCTTTGTATCTTCAAGTCAACTCAAGTTTCGTTGTATATATTATTTTATAGAAATAAGAAGTGGTATTATGCACCTATTCTCATTGCTCTTTTTCATAGTTTTTCATGCATTTTTTTTCTTTTTCATGTTGATTGTTTTATTGTGGTTTGTTTCGGAATATGTTCAGAATCATGTGAAGGGAAGGGATGAATATGTTTGATCGTTAAGCAAAGTTTTCAAATTTGCATGCAACATTATAGCATGCGATTTCATGCACAGTCCCATTTGATCGCATTTCTGTATGTTTTGTTCGATTATGCAGATTTTGTTTATTTGCCAAAGGTTTCATTAGTTTGATATTGTTGCATATGCTTGATTATCAAGTCATTTCGATTATTGATAAGGAGATCGAGTTCGGTTTATTTAGTGCCAAGTAGGGCCTAGGCCGGGGTTGGCGGAAACTTTTGCTTTGAAGCTGCAGTGCTGAATCATGTTATAAACCAAGACCGTGGAAAGTGTAGGTGTCTTTGGACTTCGGGGTATAGGTTCATTTATACTTTTGATATAACTTCCTTCATGATGGGATATATAGGGTAAGGCATGAATAATAATGCAAGTTTCTGAGTAGACCTGGACCATTTCAAAGTTTGAATTATTTTGGGTTCGGTTCATTTAGGCTTTGTTATTTATGTTTGACATTTGAATTCGGGTCATTTCAAGTTACTTATTCATATCATTTTAGGTTTGGATCATTCCATCCTCGAATCATTTTCGGGTTCGGTTGAAACTGATGGCTGCCGGGACTTGTGAAAGTGGACAACATTTTAGTGTTGCTTTGGAGCATCAAAGACTACTATAAAAAGCTTTACCATAAATCAACAAACTAATGGCTTCCTTGATGGAAAGCGAAATGGCATTGCCATCCAGCAAGACTAATAATACATCCCCCCAGTCAATTATAGAAAATTCCATCATAATCTAGCCAAATACCCCGAACAGTGCAAATTGATGTGTTCGAAATGAAACTACCTTTTCTTGCAAGTTTTGTTTCATCAAGGTAATTAACATTTTTAATAAACAAGACAGTTGAATACCAAATAGACAACATTGCTCAAAGAACCCAATTTGGTTAACGTAGCTGCACCGTCCAGCATGAAGTTTTTTATTTTATTTTTCCTGCTTTAAATTTGAAGCCGAAACCAGAACCATTTATGCCGAAATTAGCTATGTTATAATTAATTAAGTTGCAGTTCTAAGATTGTTTTGAAATATAAAATGGGAAAAAGTTGAGATTTCTGAGATGGATAAATCTCATGAGGTGTTTGATGCCAATATGCTGGCATGTAATTGATCGCATGACAGCAAATTGAATGAGAATCCTGCATGCTTGGGCTCCCCCCTCTCTCATCGGAATGAGAGTAATTACGTATTTAGCCGCTCACTTATTTTTGAAGTTATATTCTAATTATTTAATTATTTTTTTTGGAATTATACTTAATTTTATTTTTTAATTCCGTTTTGATCACATGTCGTTAAAAAATTAATTGCAATCACTTATACTGATGTGTCACCGTAAGATAATATCATGTTATCATTGAAAATAAATTGTCATACTAATATAGTTTTGTTTATTTTTTAACGATATTGTACTAATCAAATTGAATTGGAGTTAAATTTAAAAAATTTAGAGATGAGCTCAAAGCTTGGATCCAATGATTGAGAAAAAGATATTTCGGATTAATAAAAATTATTTAGTTTGACTGGTAGAATCGTATATTGATTGTAAATCAATCATTCAATAAAAAGATTTCTGAATAAAAACAAACAGTTTCGTTACATGAAGACCTAAATCATCCAATAACCACAAAGTTAGTAAGCAGTTGAAAACGAAAGCTAAATGTATACATGAACTTCAATTTCAAAGTCCAGCTTGGTTTAACTAAATTATTTGCTTGAAATATTTTAATATTTAATCTGATTTTATATGATTCTCTCCCTTTCCGAGTCAACCAAACTTCACCTAATCAAAGCTAACAACATTCCATTCAAATCCAATTTAAATATTAAAAGTACAATTAAAATCACATTTTAATTGATAATATCACTTGAACAAATTATCAATATGACAATATATTACTGAAGGGAGGAGTCTAACATAAAATAGTAATAGATTAATAAAATAAATCGAATTATTTTAAATTTTAAAAATTTAAAATCTAAAATTTAAAAAGTTTTGTTTACATTTTATTATCCTATCGGAATATATTAAGGTTTACATCGTAAAAGAAGAACAAATATTAAAATAAAATAAAGGTGAGAATGGGCAAAATAATTGAAGTGGGGATAGAGTTAGAAATGGCGGTGTCAAACCAACCAGTCCTCCACCACACAACAGTACTAATTTCAAATACGTAACCATCTTCCATATTATTTATGCATCTCCGAATGAGAAACAATCACTAATTTATTTCCTTGTATTTTCCCCATCATTTGAACATCTTAATCAGCTTATACTTTTATCATTTATGTCCTCGTATCATATATTTATTATGCTATACGTATTGGTGGTGGAAAATAATTATTATTATTGCTGAGTTTTGCAAAAGGAAATTGATAAAGTAAGTAAAAACTATAATAGCTTTTGATTTTTATAAACAAAAGTGAAATTACTTTTTTTAACTTTATTAATATACTACTTTCCTCTTATAATTTGTTTGAATGTTACATATTTTCACTCAGTACGTAATTAACTCGTAACAATTTATTCCAATTATATATCATCTACACACATGTTTTTAATTGTATTTTGTATGGGCTTCCTTTTTGCAATAAGCTCAACTAGGAAACTTGTCATGCATCGTTCATATTCCGTTTCGTGGAAGCATTTTTCCAATATAAATATGCAAGTTGCTGAATCATAAAACAAAATCTACTCGTTTTCTTTAACACTAATGGTGCGTATGATTTAATCAGTTTATCAAATACATTGACTTCACGATTTAACTTTAATGTGATGACCTTGAGTATTTTCTTGATTAATCGAATGGAATTTAATTACTTAGGTATTGTATCGATATATTATTTAAATGTAGATTTTATTTATCTAATTTAAATTTTAAAATAAAATTATAAAATCTAAAATCATAATCATAATCATTGGTGATATATTCACATGATATTTTAGTGGCTGACGTGGTTTGTTTTTCTATCTCCTCAATCATAGAGGCATTCTAGAAAGTGATGCCATAGTTTATGATTTTTAATTTATAGTTGATGCAATGATGGAAGCCAAGCAATGGTTAATGTAAATTTCACATGAATTGCATTCCTGTGTACCTCAATTAAACTAATTATGTACATCTATACAGGCCATCTATAAAATGTTCCGTTTTTTCAATTAAACATTGGAGGAAAAATTGTATTTAAATAACGCATTTTACATGAAAAATAATACTTTAATAAAAATCTTTAAAAAAAAGTACATTAGAAAAATTACACACACAAAATCATACCATGTTCACACCTGTGTAACAATAAAAATAATAATAAAACATTAGGATCATTATTACTCGGTTCAAACTTTTATAAAACCTATAATTATACGGAGAGGGTTTTAAGTTTCAGGTTTTTAAATTTTCACGTCAATTAATAAATTTAAATTCTGAATAAGTTAGTGATTTGGATTAAGATATAATATTAATGATGATATAAAAATTAAACCAAATATAATATAAAGATGGTAAGCCTAATTTAACCGAAAAGATATTAATATTATTCCTATATTTGTGTATATATGGATTGAATAAATTATTTTAGATGAATGAACAAATAATGGAAGCTATTGCTTATAATAATTCTTTAGATTGGATCAAAAACTGGCATCTTCCCTTTCTATGGAGAAAACTGGCCTAGCTTCCTTTTCTGGTCCTATCTTTTGTGTCAAACTCATTATAAAATTCCAAAGAACAGGTCTACAGCTCAGCGCATAAAATAATAATTAAAAAATAGTCTGATTATGATTTTAGTCTCTTTTATAGTATTAAAATTTGATTAGTCTATTTATTTTTATTTTATAATATTATTGGTAGATCAAAATTTGTAATTTTAATTATTTTTTTTTAAAAAAGATAATGAGATTATTTTTTAAAAATAAATTTAAGCATTGGATTAACATGTAAATAGATTAGATTGAATACAGTTGACTAAATTTTCATGTAATCTTCAGTGTGCAATAGAATAATAAAAGTGAAAAATTTAATTATATTGAACTAAAGTATAAAAAGATTAAATACCATTTTCAAGAATTAATTTAAGATGTTATAATAACAAATTTTATTTGTCCCATTACATTAAAATTTGCAGCAAATTAATGGGATTTTGCTGTAATAATAAGCAAATGAATAAATTTGGACCGTGGAAAACAAAACAACAAAATGTAAAGATTTAAGGAAATTCCTGTAGGACAGCTAACTCTGTTTTCTTTTATTTTGTCCAGTAGAAGGATTTGATTTTGTTGGCTTTGGGTTGCTTCCTAGTTCCTATTACTTTCTACACATTAAATATAGCAAGAAAAATAATGATTTTTTTCAAAACAAGTTAATTAAACGTGATTAACTTGAATAGCCAACCCTCTTTCTTTGCCTATAAAAGCCCATTTCAGCCTCTGTTCTCCTTCCCCCTCTCCCTTCGCTCTCTCTTCTTCGTTGAGAACAATATTACAATCTCTCTGCTTCCTCCGTTTCATAGCCTTTCGAAGACTCTTCCTATCATTAGCTTTCCTTGTTTTTTAAACCGGTATGGTAACTTATTCATTGCATGGCCTTAAGAATTTTCTTGCATTTTCATCCATTTCTTTGTCATGCTTTTGCTAAAAAGCTTTCTGGGTTTTTGTTCATGAAAACTGCTTTCCGTTTCTTATTTGTTTTTAACATTTTAAAGTTATTTTGCTTGCATTATTGAATACGTGTTCTAGAAATTCGGCATTCAAGTTGTGGTTGTGATGTATCCACTCGTGAACTCATCAATGTCTGTCGTTTCCATTGCTTAATTTAGGTCCTTTGATCAACGTCCAAAAAATGGAATACGAGGATAGATACAGTCTAACTCAGAGGCCTAAATACGATTGCCTTTTGTTTGGTAAGCTCCTTTACTTTAGAAACATCATGATTTTAGACTAATTCAACGAAAATGCAAATATATTTAACAATTTGGTTGAATTTGCAGATCTTGATGATACCCTTTATCCAAAAAGTTCCGGCCTTGCAAGAGAATGTGGGAAGAATATTAGAGGTAAAGGATTTGTGTTCTGATGCATGGGTACTACCATTTTTACTATCAAGAATTCATGGTAATCTGATTTTATTTTGTTGCAGATTACATGGTTGAAAAACTGGGTGTAGAAAGGGAGAAAGTTGTTGAATTGTCCAACCTCTTGTATGAGAATTATGGGACAACAATGGCTGGCCTTAGGGTATGATTTCCTTCCATTAAACCTTTCCTTTTTCAAGCATCCTTTTCAGTAGGGGAAAAATATAAATTTAATATGTATATTTTTTCTCTTATTTGCAGGCTGTTGGTTATGAATTTGACTATGATGAGTACCATAATTTTGTTCATGGAAGACTTCCATATGAGAACCTAAAACCTGATCCTTCATTGAAGAGTTTATTGCAGACTTTGCCTCTTCGAAAAATTGTTAGTTTGTTTACTTGATGCACAAGCAAGTATTGGTCATGTTTTTATTTATTTATTTAAAATGTCTCCTAACAGAACTTGATCTCTTGTTTTTAGATATTCACAAATGCAGACAGGGTCCATGCCGTTAAAGCCCTCGCTAAACTCGGGTTGGAAGACTGTTTCGAAGGGATTATCTGCTTCGAGACTCTCAATCCTACCCATAGGAACATGGTTTCGGATGACGAAGACGAAATCGAGTTCTTAGGATCCACCGCTGCTGCTACTACTACAGCCAATGCTCCTAGAAGTTGTCAAATTTTCGACATAATTAACCATTTCGCTCGCCCCAACAATGGTGCACCATTACCCAAGACCCCCGTCGTTTGCAAGCCGCAGGAATCTGCCATAGAGCGTGCTCTCAAGATTGCTGAAATCGACCCTCAGAGAACAGTAAGACGATGGATAATCCACCGTTGTGCATTTCGAAACTCGTTGCATTTTAACACTCTACTGATGTTTTCCTTCTTTGGATTTTTACTGTTTCAGTTGTTCTTTGAGGATAGCGTCCGCAACATCCAGGCCGGAAACCGCGTCAGTCTTCACACTGTGATGGCAAGTCCTTGAAAACTTTCTTGTCTTACTTAACACACATAGTCCCTTAAAAACAACCATGAAACTAACTCGAAGAATTAAAATTTTATGCAGATTGGCACTTCCCAGAAACCCAAAGGTGCAGATTTTGCATTAGAAAGCATTCACAACATCAAGCAGGCGATACCAGAGCTGTGGGAAACTGGTCGGATATCTGAAGTCAATTATCCCGGACAAGTTGCAGTTGAAACATTCGTGACAGCTTAGATCCCATGTTGTCTCCATTCCTTGTTACTGTTTAGAAGATGTATATTTATATAATCTAATAAAAAATAAAAGAAAATTTCCTTTTTTGAGTAAAAAGAGTTGTCCTTCCCCTGTTTCAGGTGACTTAATCAGTGTTGTCTTAATCGATCTTAAAGGCCGTATTTATGATATGAATAAAATATATGAGAAATAATTTAATAATTTTGCCTTCAAATAATGGAGGTATTGTACATAATATATTTGAAGATCACAAAGGTCAGCTTGATGCATGAAAGAACAATGAACTTGACTTATTATGATTAACGTATTAGTTCAGACAATGTATGTGTTTTAAGCTTATCGGGAGGGATAAGCTCAAAATTGTGTAAAGTTGCAGGAAAGCAATATTCAGCTGCATCTGGTTTAATAGAAATTACGAGTAAAATTGCATTCAGATGAGCATCCGCAAGGACCCTAACCGTGCTAGCCAAGTTACCTCAACTATGAGCTATGGGCCTCAAATTTTTCACCCATTTTAAACTGAAAACATGTTTAAGTATATTTAAATCTAAAACCTTACAAAAAACTTAATTATTCATGTTATTTGTTTTTTTTTAATTTTGATAAAAAAATCAAGTTAAACATTTTTACCAAATAATTTAGTGATAGCCCACAATGAAATGGGGATGGGTGAAGCAAATTATATTGGTTGGGTCCATGGTTGGAACCAACATTAATTAACCTTTTTCAGGTCAAATCAGAGCAAAGTAAAAATCAGGATTATAATAAATCGCAGCAAAGTCCTGATGTAGCACAAGTCTGCTTACAGATATTGCTCTTCTCATAAAGCATTTTCATTCTCACAGTCGATCTTTTTACAACTTGCAAGAAGTTACCGTTGTCATTTATCAACATTGGAAACTATCTTTATATTGACATCAAAATTGTTTGTTTTTTCTTGGGGGACCATGTAAGTTCTAATGGGAGCACCATAGCTTCATTTTATGATGGTTTTCTTCACAGAGAAGATTATTCTAATATCTTATCTGCAAAAGGGTATCTAAAAGTTCTTGTAGATCACAATACATATGCAAATACTGAAACTTTTGTGCCTTCTAGCTTGATGACAAGCTTTGAAGATTGTGAGCTTATGGGCCACAAGCAGAGAAAAAAAACATCAGTAGAAAGATTGATTCCAAGATGGAGTTAAAGGCAAGGGACACGGGCATCGTCTACTCTTTTAACTTGTTCTATGAATATTGCCAATGGAATATCCACATTCAAGATTCAGTAACCTGAAGCAGTTCCAGTTTAGAAAGCCACACCAAAGGTTAAGAATTTATATTTTGGGAAATTTATTATTAATAATTTCATAAGGAAACTGGTTTTCTGGGTTGTATAAATATCATAAATACTCGCTTGTAAAGATGCAGGAATGATCAGATAAATGTGGGGTTTCAGTGATCACTGTGACCTGAATAAGAAAAGCCCACTAGCCATGATGCCCTAATAAATAACCTGAAACTGAGTTTTAAAACTCGAATTAACCTAAACTAGACTCACTCAATCCAAAACTTAACATTGGCAGCAGAATAAAAGACGAGTTTTGGTCCCCACACGCCACCAGTTATGCAGTTTTACTTCCCTCACGCCACTCGTTTTTATCGTCTACTGTTTCTTTAGTCTCGTATCTTTCAGGCTCAGCTCACCCTCATTAAGTACCCCTATCTTCTTTCATTCGTTTAAATATCAACATTTCTCTCTGTTTCTCTTTTCATATTTTCCCTTCCATGAAAAACAAAAATGCCCGCTGCATTTTCTTCCTCGACTGTGCTCTGCGTTGCTTCATTGTTGCCCTTTCTTGTTGTGGTGGTGAATGCTAGAATCCCTGGAGTCTACTCCGGTGGTGCTTGGGAAACTGCTCATGCTACCTTCTACGGAGGCAGCGATGCTTCTGGAACAATGGGTAATTTGCTATCTAATGTTGTAATCTCTGAACTTCAACCAATGTTTCCTAAAACCATTAAAATTTGTTGGGTTTTTTTAGGAGGTGCATGTGGATATGGCGATCTCTACAGCCAAGGCTACGGCGTTAACACGGCGGCTTTAAGTACGGCGCTCTTTAAAAATGGGCTTAGCTGCGGAGCTTGCTTTGAGATTAAGTGTGCAAATGACCCAAAATGGTGTCACCCTGGGAGTCCTTCCATTATCGTCACTGCTACTAACTTTTGCCCTCCTAACTATGCTCTACCGACTGACAATGGCGGATGGTGCAACCCTCCACGCCCTCACTTTGACCTCTCCATGCCTGTGTTCCTCAAGATCGCCCAGTACCGTGCTGGTATTGTACCTGTCTCCTTCCGTAGGTGAGTTCAGTTTGGAATTAAAATATAGGCACTGAAGTTTAATGTTGAATATAATAAAGGGATTGAAATTAGAGTTTGACCTGTTATTTTTTACTGCCGTTAATTAACTGTTTTATTATCATCTTTAAGAGTGCCTTGCCGAAAGCAAGGTGGGATGAGATTCACCATCAACGGATTCCGTTACTTCAACTTGGTTATGGTCACCAACGTCGCTGGTGCAGGGGATATCGTGAAGGGGACCAAAACCGGTTGGTTGAGCATGAGCCGTAACTGGGGTCAGAACTGGCAGTCGAACGCCGTCTTGGTAGGTCAGGCACTCTCGTTTAGAGTCACGGGCAGTGACAGGCGAACCTCCACCTCTCGTAACGTGGCGCCAGCTGATTGGCAGTTCGGCCAAACCTTCACGGCCAAGAATTTCCGCGTTTAAAATCCCAGATCATCACCATTTCCGTTTTAATTTGAATTAACTTCTTTGTTTACCGCCCTTCCATTTTCCCGGAAAATTTGAAGTGCTGTGTCGGCGGGTAAAAAACGCAGAAGTAAGAACAACCAAAAAAAAATGAGGTTTTGGATTTACCGAAATGGTAAAAGGTTGCAATGGGGGCTGAAGTTGCTGCAAATCATAGAGGGGAGAGCCCGCAGCCCGCAGCCCGCAGCACTTGATCATATAGTGATTGCCTTTATATTAAAATGAATCGCTTGTTCCAACCTCTGTTTCTTTACTGAAGCTTTTAAAAGATGTCTTCGCCACTCAAATTAATGCTTGTAATGTAGTAGTTGCGATGTGTGTCATTCATTTTTATGAAGTATTAGTTTTTTTTAAATAATGTTGCTATGAATTTACAAATGTAGATTATATATAATTTTACCCATTAATTAGTATTGTTCATTCATTTATCCATATATATAAGAATTATTATTTTGTAAGATAAAAAGGCATAAGAGGCCTTTGTATTTTTTGGGGGGGAAAATCAACGTGGCTCTATAATTATTATTTTCATCTAATGTAGTTACTCATAAAACATATTTAATGTGACTCTTTGATTAACGTTTTTCGTCGTTGACCGTTACAATGTTTACTTGGCTATTCACGGTGTTGATGTGATGGTCCATGGTAGCTGATGATGTGGCAGGTGGCCTAAATTGATTTTTTGGCTTTGTTTGAGCGTCAAATTGATTTTTTAAAAAAGTTTAGAGGCTTGTATATATATTTTAAAATAAAATTTATTTTAAAAATTTAAATATAATAATATTTAAAAAATAAAAATACTAAAAATAAAAAATAATTTACTAAAACTTTAATTATATAATTTAAAAAATGGTAAAAATATAATTAAAATTAATATATATATATATATATATATATATATAAACTATAAAATTATAACTTATAAATTATTAAAAATTGTTTTTAAAAAAATAACATATACATGTAACATATAGTTATATTACCAACACTTATTATTCTTATTGGATTAGTCGAGAGTTATAGATTTTGTATTTAAATATAATTAGGAAAAATAATAAAAATCTTCTATCAATACACACATTTACTATTACTTCGAACAATTCTAATGACTACTCGTAAATCATTGTACATCATCTAATAAACTAGTATATAAAGTGATGCTTAAAATGTTTGAAATATAATTAAATTTGTGTATTTATACAAGTAGCTTACGATGTTTCGAAGTTATATTTATATACAAAATCTGTAAGTATCGACTAATCCAATCAAAATACTTTGTATAAGTGTTGATGACACGACCATATATTAGATGTATATTTTGTATAATATATGTTTTTAAAAATATTTTTGATTTTTTAATAATTTATATTTTATTATATATTTAATTTTTTTTAATTTTTAATATATATTTAATTTTTTAGTATTTTTATTTTTAGTATTTTTATATAATTTTTTGAATAATTTTAAATTTGAAATAATTTTAATTTTCTAAAAAAACAAATCGCGGGATTTTTTTAAAAGGAATTTGGGTGTTGAACAAAATAAAAAAATCAATTTAGCCTATCTATTATGTCATCTGTCACGTCATTGGGCACAATGAACCATCACGTCAGCACAAACTATCATTCAACGCCGTAACAATTAACGACGAAAAAGGTTAGTCAATAATCACATTAGATATATTTTATGAGTTGGAGGATCACATTAGATGAAAAAATAATTTGAAAGTCATATTAATATTTTTTTCAAAATTACAAAGTACTTGATATTTTTTTTGCCTTTTTTAAATTACTTTTTTAATGTTCTCGTAACTTATACGTTTAAATGGGCGATTTTCCCGATATATCATCGGTGACCAGTATATTTTTCGATCTAACACCGGTCAGATTATATTTTCTGATCTAACACCCTTAGCAGTAAAGCGCGCCCCTGCACCGCGTTATACGATGATGTGGTGTCACGTGGGGTATAGTGCGCCCCTTGCACCGCGCTATACGGTGATCTGGCATACACGTGGGTATAGCGCGACCCCTTCAGCGCGCTATACCTGGATATCTGACACGTGGGGTATTATTTATTATCTTTATTTTAATTTTTTTTACCGTGGCTTTATTTTAGCAAATTTATTTTGTTTCCTTTTCCCATATTGGTTCGATTTTTTTAAAGTGAACTTTAATTATTTCCCATATTTGATTTAATTTGCATGTTTGTCTCAATTTGACTTTAATGCTCTTAATTTAGTTTTTCCTTCCTTAGGATATACGTGATTCATGCCGTGATTCATCCTTTTATTAAAAATCGCCAAATTAATATAGATACAAAGATAAATAATTTTTAATAAAAGGAAATATAATTAAGAAATTAAAAGAAGCAAAATAGGATGGAAACCATGGCATGAATCACGTATATCCTAAGGAAGGAAAAACTAAATTAAGAGCATTTAAGTCAAATTGAGACAAACATGCAAATTAAATCAAATATAAAAAATAATTAAAGTTCACTTTTAAAAAATCGAACCAATATGGGAAAAGGAAACAAAATAAATTTGTTAAAATCAAGGCACGGTAAAAAAAATTAAAATAAAGATAATAAATAATACCCCACGTGTCAGATATTCAGGTATAGCGCATTGCAGGGGCCGCGCTATACCCACGTGTATGTCAGATCATCGTATAGCGCGGTGCAGGGGCGCGCTATACCCCACGTGGCACCACATCATCATAGAGTGCGGTGCAGGGGGCGCGCTATACCCCACGTGGCGCCACATCATCGTATAGTGCGGTACAGGGGGCGCGCTTTACTGCTAAGGGTGTTAGATCGAGAAATATAATATGATCGGTGTTAGATCAAAAAATATACTATTCACCGGTGATATATCGAGAAAATCGCCGTTTAAATGTGTACCAATTCATAACCTCAAAGATATTGGATTTTTAGAAGACTTCCTTAAATCATGGGTAAGTTGGTGGATGGTGTAGAATAAGACCGTGCGGAGTGTATGATGGAGGGGCCAAATTCGAATTTTAATATAAAAATATTTTAAATTGAAATTGTTATTTATTGGTTATGAATATATATTGTAGAAGAAACCAATTGTGGGTAGCGAGGCAGTAGTGTAAAAGGTAAACAGCAAGTGTACGAGCTGAATGTCGGTAGACGGCGCACAAAGCCCATGTGGTGCCTTGGACTCGCACTAACCCTCTTCTCTTTATTTATCTTTCGTCTCTCTGCATTTTCTTCTTCTTTTTACCTTATTTGCCTCAACTTTTCCTTCAATATATGTTATATTTACTTTTACCGTGGCTAACATGACACCTTCAAAAAATAGCAAACCCACACGTGAATTAGTTAGAGGAAGTGATACTTTTTTTAGAAATCTTATACGTAAATAATTGTATTTTCAATATGTGTGTTGCAATAATTAAAAAAATTATAAATAAATAATATCTTACTATTTAAATAAATAAATAAATCATAATTGTTGTAGTACATATCATTGTAAATGAGATTAAAATGAAAGTTGAGCTCCTCATGTGTATTAATCTTCATTTATTAATTTTTAGGCTGATAATTATTACACAAAATAATCACCACACTTGAATTTGCACTAATGTGAAGATTTCTTTACTTTGAATGATGTTTTCGATGATAATATTTTCTTATTATGCATGCTAATTTTTAAAATAAAAAATAATTAAAATAATTTACTGTAAAATTTATAGTAAAAACAACAGATGAATAAATTATATAAAAAAGAAATATTACTTTTCAAATGTCTATATTTCAGAAGTTTGTATATAGCCACTAAATCGTCGATGGTAAAAGATTAAAAGAAGAAAAAAGATGAAGGATTAAAGAAAATGAAATGTTGTTATAAAGGACATTCATTAAATAATATTTATAATAATTTTTTTGGTATAAAAAAATTTAGGTCAAGGGGTGGTTTTCTCAGTTTAAGGTCAGGGCATACCTAAGATCCAATTGTGATTTACATAAGAATTTATAAATTGCTCACCAAGAGTGATAATAGTAAGATTCAAATTTGACCTTATAAACTCAATTTTTTAAATCTCAACTACTTGTACTGACACTCGTTCGTTGACATATTTATAATACTCCTTTTAGGATGTCCATTGTAAACTGTGTTTCATGAAAATTCTTACTAAGAAAAACTTTATAAAAAATATTCAGTAACAAAAAAAAGACTACGTCATGTTTTAATACACCAAATGGTTATCTATATAATTTATCCTAATATTAAATATTTTTTTATGAACCAAACGACTTCGATGGTTAAGTGATTTATTGTTATTTCTTGAGGATTCATGTTTAACCACCGTGTACATAAAAAATATGAACGTTCGTTATCAAAAGATTAATAGTCTTTTAACCGATACTATCGTATAATCATCCCGATTTATATAAAAAAAAACGTTTTTATTTCTGAAAGGTCGAATATTCTAAATCCACCAAAGGAATCATAAAGCCCCTTTCAAGACTGGATTTCTTAGCCCACGTATATAGCAATTCAATCGATTGGTATTGGGAAAAATTTTAGTTTATTTCGCGAGTCCAAAAAAATCTGAAACCCAATACCTCAAAGAAGCATGAAAACGAAAAGAAACGTAATTTCTTTTTCTATTTTATAACTTTTACCATGTATGTGCTCAAAATTATTTTGAAACGGTTTTACATATTAAATAACTAAAGTAATAAAAAGTTATTTATAAATTTTAGATCATATTATTTAAAAATTATATAAAATATAAATAATAATATAATCATAATAATATTACCTTCTTTGTCTCATTAAATCTGTCAATTATTGATTTTTTATCAATTTTTTAACTTTGATTCATTATTATTTTAAAATTTGTCATTGATAAAAATATAAAAAATATTTAAAAATCTTAAATTAATCAATTTTAAATATATATTTATAAAATTTAATTGTTTAAAATATTTAAAATAATCATAATCAAAGCCTAAAAATGTTTACTTTTAAAAAATCAACAAGGGACACATTTAATGGAACATATGGAATAATATATTTTAGCTTAATTAACTTGTAATGGAAGTATAGATTTTTTGGATTTAATATTAAATTTATTTTTCAATATTT